TTTAAATTTATTTCTAATATAATGTGTACTGGTTAAAATACCCAAATCATGAATGCTCGAAATTTAAAAAAAAAAAACTTAAAAATATGTTTTTTAGTAGACTAGGCTTCCACAGGTTTAGCACCTTATCCTCGTAAGTCAGATTATCTAAACTCTACCTACATGAGAGGAAGTGTCTTAAAATAAGGAAAATAGATGCATTAATATGCATGTGAAGGATGATCCCCATATTATTCCATAGATTTGTTATCTTTCTATGCTATTTAAGTCCTAAAATTTTAAATTTTGATTATGAGTAAAAGAATTTTCATACCCTCATAAGCCTCACGTATCTAGGCTTAACCGAAAGTGGCACCCAAACTCAAAAAAAAAAAAAACTAAGAAAAGCAGGAAAAATTCTAATCACAATTAAATTAACACATTAAATATAATCAAATTGATTAATAAATATCCATAAGCAAACTGCCTTGCTTATTACAACCCAAAAATATAGAAATTAAAGTGGATGGGCACCATTGACCACAACTCAAATTCTAATCCTAATATAGATGTAAGTGACTTTGAGTGGGAAACTCTTTATCTTCAATTCTTCAATCTTCTGTCATTCTTGTTCCTTAGATTCTTCGTAGCTGGTTGCACAAATGGAGAAGAGAATTCTTCCCTCGAGGGGAAGGTTACTCTTTCCGCTTTGGGTATGAAAAATGATCCAAATTTGGACTTCCAAATAGGAAAGGATTGTCCCCCAAGGGGTATCTTTTCCTCTTTGGAATCCAAGCTTTAGATAAGTGTATCCCAACTCAAATGTGCACTTTCATAACTCAACATCTCAAATGAATTATATTAATAAAAAAATTTAGAATCTCCTACAAGGTTATCCTAAATATTTAATAAATCAAATTCATTCCCAAGTAGTTATATATATATATATATATATATATATATATATATGCAGAAAAGTAAACAGATTTGGCTACGCTTTTTTTTTATTTGGGGGCTAAGTAGCTGAAACACCTATAGTTGTTATATTTATTATTTATTTTCCCCCTTTATTGCCCTGCACGAGTGCAGCCACCTGCAAAAAACTCAATGAGAATCCAAATCGTTTCAAACCTAAGGGTAATTTAATCGCCAACCATATCATTAATCCACAGAGTGTAGAAAAAGTAAACAAACACACCAGGCAATTCCATTCACAACATGCAATGAAATCTCAAAACTATGCATAGAACAAAAAAGTAAACATTGTCCTAGCCGAGATCTAGAGTCAGTAATCATGGCAAACTATCCAAAATGTTTATAGTAGGTCGTGTGGTTGGGTAGATCCTTAATTTGGTAGTTTGTGGAGTTGTCTAATGTTTGAAATTGTTAAAGGTTAAAGGATAACTTTATATTTGAGTTTAAGTATTAATGTGTTAAAGCTTGATTTAAGTGTATTTTAATTATTAAATGATAGTTGACTTTGTTGCAGACCAAGACTGTAATGTTTATTTCACCTTCCTTGGGACTAAGTTAGTAGCCTCGTAGGCTTGGGTTACCTTATAGTAATTGGGGTAGATTAAGTTGATTTAGTTTATTAGAAATTAATGGTTGATTAATATTAAATGATTTAATTAATTATTGATTTTAAAAGTTTAGATTAATTTATATTTTCCATCAACAGGTTCATGGTGTTGTACCACCAGCCTCGAGGAACAAGCCTCCTTAGGACACATAGCCCTACATCCCAGAGTATTCATCCTAAAAACCTTATTGATGTAGTTTATTTAAGGATTTTAATTTGGTTAAACAATTAAAACTGACTTAATTTTGATCTTTAATACTCCATTGAATTTATTTGTGGCGTTGTTCCACTAGGCTCGAGAAAGTTGGTCTCCCTAGTACACGTAGTTCAGCAGCCCAGAGTAGTCCATTAAATAAACTTCATCTTTGGAGTGCTTGTTGTGTATTAAAATGTTGGTTAGGTATTTTATTAATCAAATTAGAAAATTATGACATTTTAATGAATTATTAAATTTTTGACATTATTTTAATGTGTTAATTAAGGGGTTCAAAGTTGACTTTTTAAACTAAAGTTAATTTTGAATGTTTCATATTTTTAATAAATATAAGAGCTTATAACTAGTAGTTAGACTATTAGCATGCTCAATTTTGATTTTTCTACAAAATGTTATAGTTTTTGAAAGTTTTAACTTGAGTTTGACCGAATTGTTGACTTTTTTACTTTTACCAAATTTTGAAGGTTTGACATTTTTGTAAATATTATATTTAATTTAAGTTGGATGCCTTTGAGTTTGATGAATTTAGAATTATTAATAATAAGTTATGATTTTAAGAAATTTTTTATAATTATTTAATTATTTTAATTAAAAGCCCTTTTAATGATTTGAACCCAAGTAAACTCCAAACTTCTTTAAATCACCTCCAACGATTAGAAATGATCTAAGGAGAGATAAGCAGGTGTTTGAGATTTTTTTGTGATTTTTAATTATTTTTAATTAATTAAATTAATTATAAATTAATTTCCAATTAAAATTAAATTAAGATTGAATTTGATTTCAAATTAAAGTGGTTTTAATTTTCTCTAATTAAGAGGTTAATTATGATCAATTTTTTTAATAAAAGATGCAATTAGCATTAAAGATAGAAAAAAGAGCTTACAAAGGGCTATCCTTCCTAAACAAGTATAAGAAACTTGTAGGAAGGTCAGCTTCAATAAAAGAATCCCAAAAAAAATTTCCTAACAAAGCAAATTTGGCACAAAAATCAGCCGTCTTATTACAATCTCTATGAGCAAAATGAAAATGACGTTATTGAAAACTTGTAAGAATGATAGGTCCAACTTGGTACCTTTGTTAGTCTTCAAGTTGACAGTATCTTGGAGCATCTTCATGATATTCACATTGTCTCCTTCAATGATTATTCCATTATATTCACAAAACCAATTTTGAATGTAGTTTTCAAAATAAAGGATAGCTTTGAGTTCCAAATAAGCGATGTCCCAATGAATTAACTTTCTACCATATGCACATAACATTCTACCTTTGCAATCTCTTAGAACACCAGCTATACCCGCCATGTTGTTAGCAGATAGAGCAGCATCAACATTCAGTTTAATCCAACCGTGGGGAGGGGGACACCAAGATTTGGATAACATCGGCTGGTTGGTGTTCCAAGTCTTTTCAATTGGATTTGACTAAAGGTGAGAAGTGGGAAATAATTTCTGCAACAGCATAAGCTATAAAAATTTCAGAATTACCATGCTTGACCATATGCCTTGATCTCCAACTATGGTAAACTGCCAAAGCATAGATCTTCACAAGACCCTTATCAGCTCCCTATTTTAGTGTCGTAGTACATTCATCCAAATTTTGAAATGCAGGAACATTGAACCCGCAACTTCTTAATTTATGTAATAATACCTTCAGCATGCTACATTTTATGATAACATGTTCTGTGTCTTCATTCTCATGACAACCTCTCGGACAATCATTAGAATTATCCAATCTTCTGTAACTTAACCACTCCTTCGTTGGTAAAGCACCATTCAACGCTCTCCACCAGAACAGGTAAACTTTATGGTCCAATTTTAATTTCTTCAGCCAATTATACTTGCTATACTTACTATCACTTTGAAAATTGATAGCTTCAGCACATAATGCTGATACAGTTTTACCTGTATTGGTATGAACAAGCTCCATTCGATCCTCTATATTATTCGCCCTCTTCTCCATTTGCTGTATGACCTTTACCATATCTCCAGAAAAGAATTCAATTAGTTTTTTTGAATTCCATTTACCATCTTCATCCATATGAAAAGAAACCTTCTGTCGTCAATGTCCACCGTATTACACGTTGCCGGCCATCTGTTGAGGCTTCTATCTAATATCCAATTGTCAGCATTGATATTGATACTATTACCATTGTTTAACCTGCCATCTAACAACTGGTTTCAGATAATCAATGCCCTCTTTAATAATTTTCCAAGCAGTAGATGCACCTCTCTTTGCGCTTTCCTCCCACATTTTGGCTCCAAATTTTTTGAAGAGGATTTTATGTAGAAGTGAATTCTTGTTCTGTAAAAACATCCATGCCAATCTCGATCTTAAAGGACCCTGACTCGCCGTAGCTCCATGTATGCCAAAACCCCCTAGGCTGGTAGGTAAGCATAGAGTTTCCCAAGCAATATAATGCAAACATTGTTTCCCATTCTCTTTGTGCCACAAGAAGTTCCTACAGAGTTTGTCAACTTTTAATAAAATGCTTTTAGGAATGAGGGAGTGTGCTACATGATAAGTAATCATGCTAGAATAGGCAGTTTTAATGAGATAAATTCTTCCAGCCAGAGAAATCCATCTAGCTCCCCAAGAATTAAGTCTACACATTGCTTTCTCAATGGTGCTATTGTAGTCTTCAGCTTTCATTCTTCTAAGAGCCAGTTTAATACCCAAGTAGAATAATTCTTTGACTTCCTTATATCCCATAATTTTATTTAACTTGCTTCTTCTCTTTTTGGAGACAACTTTGCCATAAAGAACCATGGATTTCTATGAGTTGATCACCTGGACCGTCCAGCTGCAATAACATTTGAAGATTTTCTTCAGCATCTTTGCATTCCTGCTGTAAGCCTCAGCAGTCAATAAGACATCGTCTGCAAACAGTAAATGTGTGATCTTCTATGTATTCAACGCTAGTCTCATCCCCAACTGCACCTTATGTTCATTAAGAGCTTTAGATATAATATCATAGCATAAAATGAACAGGTTTGGCGACTACGAACACCCCTGCCTGAATCCACATTGAGCATTAATCCATTCTGTTCTTTTACCATTAATTATAACAGAGAATTTTGGGTTTGAAACACATTGCAAAATTGGAAGGATTAATCTATCTGAAAAACCTGTCAATTTTAAAACCTGTTTAAGTGTTTCCCAGCACATACAGTCGTACGCTTGCTCCATATCGAGTTTAAGAAGGAAATAACCTGGCTTACAAACAATCTCCTATGCAATAAGGCAGTTGTCTAAAATACTCCTGCCCGATACAAACGTTCCCTGAAAATCAGAAATGACTCCCAGAAGACAGTTTTTGAATCTATTTAGAATCATACTAGTAACCATCTTGTAAATTGTTTGACATAGGCATATTGGCCGGAACTTGGAACATTCTTTAGCATTCTGTATTTTCAAAATCAGCACTACCACAGTTTCCTTCCATTGCTCCAGCATTTCCCCTATTTTGAAAAAGTTGTTAACAGCATTCCATGTAGCTCGTTCCACAATGCTCCAATAATTTTTGAAAAAATAGGCATTTGCACCGTCAGCTCCAGGAGATTTGTTATTACCCATATTCTTGAGTGTTAACTTCAACTCCTCAATAGTGAATCCTGCTTCGAGAATTTTCCTCATATTAACCTGTATGCAATCAGAATTTTTGAAATTCGGCCAATTCTTCAAATTACAGCTGCGCTTGCACCATTTCTTTTTGAAGAAATTCTCCATAATATTATGGATGTCTTCATGATTTGAAACCAACGATCCATCCTCCCGAGCAATTTGTAGAATTTGATTTCTCTTCTTCTTGGCTGAAGCATAAGTGTGATAATATCTTGTGTTTTTCTCACCTTCATCCATCCACTGGCATTTAGACCTTTGTCTCCACCAAGTTGCAATTCTAGCCAGGTTTGCATTAAATTCCACAACTTTGCTTCTCAGTAGCAATAGATCTCCCTGGCTCAAGCCTCCAGCAGCAGCTTCTCTATTTTGGACTCCAAAATTTCCTGCTTAAGCACCTGGTTCCTCATGTTCAACTCCTTCAACTTATTTTTACTCCAATAAAAAAGGTTCTTAAGAGACCTTTTATTTTCCTCTGAAGAATATCATTAGCATTTCCATAGTCATTTTTCCTCCATGATTTGGTTATGATACCTTTAGCTACTTCATACGAGCACCATATATTCTCAAACTTGAATTCTTTGTTGTAATTCCTTGCTTTATCTTCAAGCTATAGAAGAATAGGAAAATGGTTCGAAGAAATTCTTGGGAGATGCTTGATAACTGCATTAGGAAAATCCATGATAGCTTTAGAATTTAACCAAATTCTATCTAACCTTTCCCATATTCTAGCAAGTCCATCTTTGTTGTTACACCAAGTATAGTTGGGTCCATATAATCCAATGTCATGGTAGTCATTGTTGGTCATGAATTCCTTCATTTCTTGTGGGCCTTGGGAGAATACAAAACTTTTTCCCCCAATTTTCTCACTGTTGTTAACAAGGCAATTGAAATCGCCCCCAACTAAACAAGGAACTTCACAATTAAAATGATCTTCAATCATTTCCCAAAGTTTCCTTCTTTCATACAAGTTTTTGTTACCATAAACAATGCACACTTTAACTATCTTGCCTTTGGGAGTAATAAGTTCACCAATAATACACTGTTTGGAAGTTACAATTACCATGAATGATGCAATTCTATGTTTCCACAGAACAAGGATGCCTCCTGACTTTCCAGACGCCGCAACTTGGTGGAAATCCCACTCACTCCCCACCATCCTTCTAACATCATTACAACCCAAATTTTTCATTTTTGTTTCTAACAAACCAATGAAAAAAAGACCATTTTCAACAATCATGTTTCTTAAGTAGTGGGAGGCAGCCTTCTTTTTGCCACCCCTACAATTCCATACTAACATTGAGGACATTTAAATAGGTTTCGGGTTTAAGGCCCCTGCCTTTACATCTCCTCCCTCACCTTTTATTGTTCTATGTTTCCCTTTGATGGGTCCAAGCATTTTCATTTCTTTAGCAAGTTTTGTTTTGCCACTAGACATCTTAACTATCACCAAACTATTTTTCATCTGCTCTTTGACATTTTGTTGTTTTGTTTCCAAGGCTTCCGTCTTGTTTCCAGCATGTGTTTTTGCCTTTTCTGTCATTGATATCACATTTTGTTCTTCATCAACTTCTCCCAGAATTTCAAATGGGTTTTTTGAAACCTTCACCTCAATCTCTGCCCTATTTTTAGTCTTCCCTTATAAAATTTCTTTTATGCTGCCTTCCAACATTCATACTCATGATTTCCAAGATCAAATTTCTCCCCTTCAGATACATCCACAGTTCCCTCAATAATTTCGCCTTCTTCAAATAAATGATTTACCTAAGGTTGAGTTGCTGGAGTATTTTTGTTCCGGAGGTTGCTTGAATTCTTTAATCTTTCCAAATTTGCATCCTTCGACTTAATGCTCCAAACATTATTGTTTTGGGTCTTCTTCTCAACATTTTTCCTGTCCATATCCTTGTTATAAACTGCATTATACTTTCTTCTCCTATTGTTCACCAGCACCCAAGGACCATAGCTTTTCTTTTCTTCCTCTGTATTGAGTTGCTTTTATTCCTGCAATAGATCCTTAGAGGAATTCCTGTCTTCAATAGAATCAACTTTCATACATTCCTCCCTCACATGACCGATTTTACCATAGTCAAAACAAAGATTCGAAATTCTTTCAAACTCAAATTTCTGATAAAATCTTCCTCGCATGCTTTCTACCCACACTCCAGCTAGTAGTTTCTGGTCAAGCTTAATTCGGACTCAGACCCTTGCAAATTCCCTTCTTCCCCAACTGAACATGTTTCCATCCAACATTAAAGGTTTGCCGACTGCAGCTGCTATCCTTGCTATATTATTTTCATCCCAGAATTGTAATGGTAACTGCGGCATTCGCATCCAAATAGGAGATGTAAGACCTTCCATAGATAACGGTGAGAACTCCGGGGACCATTTTTCCATTCCAATGATATGCTCCTTCACGAACCATGGTCCTCCCATCAGAACTCCTTCCATGGCTTCGATTATTTTGAAGGAGCACAGGAACCACCCCTTCCCTAGTGTTGTGAAATGGAAATTGTCAAATCGAGCCCACTGTCTTCTGAGTTCCCAAGAAACTTCCTGCGGCTTAATGTCTTTTCCAAAAATCTTGCAAACCAGTGATTTCCCCAGAAGGTTCGCATTTTTTATTTCATCTTCTTTAATTAACTGAATCGCCTCACTATCTTCAGTAAAAATAACATTTTCTTCTCGGAAGTTCAAATTGATGTATGGTTTTCTACTCCATACATTACCACTTTTCGACTTTTCCATATTAATTTCAGACAATGATCAGCCATTTTCTTCGCATTGCTCTCCTTAATATGTTCTGAATCCCCTTCCGCTTGGGTCACTTGTTTGAAGGATTTCGGACTAACAAATTTTTTATCAGAAATTCGACGATTCTCAACAATAACGCTGCTATCCTGATTAGCGATTGTTTTACCAAATCCTTGAACAAAAATGTTCATGCCTGAAGAAGACGTTCCCCGATCATGGCCGACCTCATTTGCCTAAATCTTTCTCAAAGTTTTTGGAGTTTTCATAATTGAAATCGGTTCAATCGATTTACCTTTTCCAACACAATGTTGAAAATTATGAGAAACAATGCCTACCTCATCATTTATCACCGAAAAACCTTTCGCTCGTCTTCTCCGAGCCTCTTCCGCATCCATAACTTTTCTTGAATCAGATTGCCCTGCAATCGCTTACCGTTCTCCAACTCAAGCAATGAAGCCGAAGAATCCATCTTCTGACCCAAGTTATCCGTCGAAGAACAATGGACATCTGCCTCCATGCGAATCTGGCAATCAGATCACCGGCTGAAAAACCCGCGAAACCAGAATTCGAAACTTTCTCTCTCTAGTTCTTGTAGCTTCTCTCTCTAGTTCCAGTTTCTCTCCAATTATGATCAATTAGAGGTTCTATATGCATTTTTTAGAATTTATCTTCATTTATTAGAATTTTTAGAATTCTAGAAGGCTAATTAAGGATTTAAACCTAAGTAAATTAATTATGGGGCTTAATGACTTCAAAAATTAGTGGGATACTTTCTATGAATGGGCAATGTCCCTATGTTTATTTGTTTTAAGTTTCAAGTCAAGGAGATATGCATCCTAATTATTATAATTTTCTAAGTTCTCTACAAAAGAATTTAATTATTGTCCTTAATGATGTCGCTAAGTTATATAGGATTAAATAGATGTTACCAACCCTTCAACTTAACATATATAAATGCACAAAAATAACACAATCAAGTCCTTAAATCTAGGATAACCTACGCTAAGTGTTGTGTGTATGTCATATGCATGCAATTGCAATATGCTTAATTAATTAAATGACTAATCAATGAGTAATTAGGGAAGAAATTACTTATTGGGTCAACACTTCCCACAAAGTCAATTCATTCAAAATCAATTTATTTTTAAAATTCCAATGGATCTCTCAAAGTTCAAAGATTTAAAAAATATATAATATCAAAATAAAATTTTAAAGCATGTATACATAAACCTATATACATAAATATAAGTTCTAAAATAACATATTTAAAAATATCATCACAATAAAATGAGGGATCCTCTGATTATTTAGAGCAATAAAAAATTTTATTTTTTTAATATTCAATTTAATATTCATTTAGATACTAATTATATATTTAAAGTAATTAAATAATTAGAATTAGTTATAGTAAATTAAGTTTCTATATATATATATTATTTTTTGATATATCCTTAATTATTGAATAATTAATTTGAGCAAAGTTGAAGCCTTTTCATTTTTTTGCGAACAGCGGTCATTTTTGGCAAAGCGAAGCGGTCAAGGAACCATCTGTGCTTAGGCGAAGTGAACGTACTTGGTGATTTTGACGGAATGAAGGTGATTAGTGGTTCTCCATCAGCCAGATATGGCCGACGGAGATCCTTGGTGTTTCTCTGTCAATTGATTTTGATAGCATTTCAAGTCTGGAGTTGATTTTCGAGGAGGTTTCTTGTTTGCTCGACTTGCCTTTTGGATTTCTTGGAATAAGTTTTCCGCTCGGAGGCTGAATTTTCCATTGTTTTTTATGGTGAAATATTTGACCAAATTTTGGTTGTGGTTCGGATGTTCTATTGGAATTATTCTTGAAATTACCTGTGGTGATTGTTGTTTGAATATGGTTGAGGTTCTTTGTCTATAAAAGAGTCATGGTTCTCTGTCGCTCTAGGGAGGTGAAATAGCGTCTGTGCAGGCTTCTCCATCATATTGTGGGCACAAAAGGAGAGTCACTTCTGTTTAGTGTAATACTTGGAGAGTGAGTCTCCAAAGAGAGGACATAGGTCAAGTTGACAAAACTACCATAAATTTTGGTGTGTTCTTTCTATTTACTTTTCCACATTTAATTTATGCATTAGTCTTTGATTTATTCTGTGGTCAAAATCTTTGATCTTTGTTATTATAAAATTAATTTTGCTTTTGCATCAAGGGGTTTTTTAACTTTTCATTTGTTTAAGAAATTTTTAGGGCATGACCGTACCAGCACTAGTACATTTGAACCTATAAGAACTCCGCAGTTAAGCATTCTTGGGCAAAAGTAGTACTAGAAAAGGTGACCTTTTAAGAAGTCTTCATATTGCACCTATTTTTAACACTACCATTGCCAAGTCCCTAGTCCTGTATAAGAAAAGTGGAAGGTTGTGTTAGGTAGTCGATAGCCAACATAAAACTTGTTGCATAATCATGACATGAAAGCTTTAAAAAATTTTGTTAATGCTAGGGTGTCCTCTGGAAGTGATGTGCTATATGGTCTGAATACAGCTACAAGTGTGCAAGGGCCGCTGCACCGGTGCCTGAGTATAGTGTTAAATAGTATGGGTTCCCACATCAAGGATAGATGTGGGAAAAGAATCTATTCCATGAAACTTAAATTAGGATAGGAGCTTGGAATATAGGCTCTCATATAGGAAAATTAAAGGAATTAATATATATTATGAATTATAGGAAGATAACTATTATGTGCATTCAAAAAACTAAATGGTTTGGAGAGAAGGCTAAGGAGATTGATAGTTTAGGATATAAATTATGGTATTCGGGTAGGAGTCATACTAAAAATGGTGTATGTGTGATTATAGATAAGAGTTTGAATGATAATGTTATAAAAATCAACAGAATTAAAGATAGCATTATAGCTTTAAAGATTGTTGTTGATGCTAAAATTGTTAATATTATAAGTGCTTATGCTTCTCAAATAGATTTAGATATGATTTATTAAAATTTTGGAATGATTTAGAAAAATTAATAAAAAATATACCTCTTGAAGAAATTATTTTTATTGGAGGATATTTAAATGGACATGTTGTTAAAAAGGTAAATAATTTTAAAAACATTCATGGTGACCATAGGTTTGGAATGACAAATGAAGGTGGTAAAACAATATTAAATTTTTTTTTTTTTATGATTTCCTAATAGCTATTACTTAATTTAAGAAAATAAATGCGTATCTTATCACTTATAAAAATGGATATAGTAAATCACGGATTGATTATTTTCTTATAATAAAATTAGATCTTTTAGATTCTAAAATTATTTCGAGTGAAAATTTATGTACCCAACATCTATTATTAGTTTGGACTTTAAGGTAACAAGGCAAAAAATTAAAAATAAATTAAAATAAATATTTAGGATTAGATGGGGGCATTTAAAAAATATTCACAAAAGTTTTTCTTAGAGTAAAATTTTATATCATATGATTTTGTCTGTACATGAGGAGGCTAATGATATGTGGGAAAAAAGTGCTAGTGATATTAAGAATATTGCAAAAGATGTGCTTGGAGTTTCGAAGGAAAAAGCTCCAAATAGTAAAATTAGTTGGTTGTGGAATTCAAATTTGCAAGAAAATATAAAAAATAAGAATATTTTTTATAAAAATTGGTTTAGTGGTAAAAATTGGTTTAGTGGTAAAAATTTTGATAATTGGGAAAGCTATTAAGAGGCTCGTAAGGAGTCTAAGAAAGCTATTTGTAATGCAAAGAGCTTAGCTTTTAGTGATTTATATAAAATGGATTAGATATTAAGGAGGGAGAAAGATATATATAT